TTATTTTGATTTTGTAAATATTCATCTTTAGCAATATTCATTAATTCAATTTGTGATGTATGTTGAAATGATGTTGCTAAACCATTGATTAATATAAATAAAACAAATACAAATATATCTTCATTACATGTACGTCGTGCAATTAAACCACATAAATGTATTAAACGACTATAATCATCATCATGATGTTCTGCTGCTTGTCGTATAGCATCATTATTTAATTGTGTTAATGTATCAAATAAAAATTGATCAAGATTATCGTTAAGTGAATTATCCCATTGACGATTATTTGATATTAATATTGTTTTAAATAAATATGGCATTATAGATAATAAACATAAACGCTCTTGATTATTTTCATTGAGATAAGAATTAAAGAAAGATTTTAATTGAAGAAAATTTTCATCAGTATCATTTAATGGACGAATAAATGATGGATGATAATCAAATGTTTGAAAAAAATGAATTAAAGATAAATAATTACATGACATAGATGTTTGATTGAATAGATGAAATATAGGAAGAATATTTGATAAAGAAAATAATGTTGAATTACATGAAATTGTTGATGAACGAGTACGCATATATAAATGATGATTGAATGGTAAACACGAAGTACAAATAAGTTCAAATGATTTAAAAATTGTTTGATCGAAATAATCGTGAATCTAAAGTTTTACGATAATGTTATATGTAACTCTTTCCGTAAAGGATAATGCAAAGTATATAGAATAATTCTACCCAAGCTTATGACTTAAGGAGAAATGATATATGAAATCAACTTTCTAATCTCGATTTATAAAGATGAGAATGTTAGAGATGCATGCGCTTTGCTTTAAACCTGTACAATTAACTATTATCGACAACTGTAGTGTTTTATCTAGAGGATGGGCACTGGATGAACGCCGCTCATTCTAAATTTCGATTTGTCTATCCGAAAAATGAAACCTAGGTAAAATACTGCACAACTGAACTTACTTTTAATTGAATTGTATTTGCATCAACATCGAATAAACATCGGTGTGTACGCCAAATATCCATAACTATTGGTTTGAGTCGTTCGTCGATATTTTTCGAACAATATTTTGTGTAAAATATTGATAGAAACGTTGTTGTTTGTAAATTATATTGCATTAATGGTAATACTTCAAGTGCCATTATTTGTGTATTTATATCAGTATCATGAAGACATAATGAAAAAATATGAAGACGAAGTTTTGGATAAAACTGTGCATTGAATAAAGATAAACATTTTAAAGATATTAAGCGATCATTTTGATTAAATTTCGATTGAAATGTTTGTGCAAGTTGTTTAGTTATTTTACATGTATCCATTCTAGGTTGAAAATCATGCCAGTCAGATAGTGATGATAACCAAGATAGACATAAAATTGATAGAGTATCTTCACGTAAACGATTATCTAATTGATCTAAATAAGATTTCGAAAATGCTTATTATTCATTAATATGAATTTTTTATTAATCAATACCTGATATATAAACAGATGTTGCAACTATAGTAGCTAGGACATATTCATAAGCAAGAGAGAATAATCCTACAGTAACACTATTGCCAAGATAAACAAGTGTATTAATTAAATAACCATAAATTGAATTAATTTCATCTATTGTTAACCAACTAGCATAAAATTCATTTTCTTCTATGGATTCTAATTTAATTTGACGTATCTGACATGAAATATATGCTTGAGAAACAGAAGTTATCAAACAATAAACATTAAAAACACGTTGTAAAGCATCCTATAATCATTTATAAAATTATATTTTTCATCATTAAAGAAAAACTATCAAACCTCTTCATTATTGAATGTACTTTTTTCTAATGTAGTTTTCAAATGTTGCCATATTGTTTTTAATAAACGTATTCGTCGTACACTAATTTAACAAATAAAATAATATATCTTACTTTGTAATTTCATTTACGACTATATCCTTCTAGCTATACTCTAGAGATGTCTAATATCATACATAGTTTCTATGTCATTACGTTCAGATCTATATAGACCTCAATTCAACTACGATAGATAAGCATTATTTATACCATCTATTATTAATTATATATAAATTTCATTTCAACCGTATTTCTAACTTTTTCTTTGAACATACCGAAACGATTGTGGTGAAGCTCGATATTTTTCTTGAATTAACCAAATAATAACTTTTCCTAATGCATGATTTAAATACTAAAATACACGATATATATAATAAACAAATTAAAATAATAAATTATTACTTTTGCTAATAGACATTCATCAAGATTTGCTAATAAATGTTCAACTATTTCATATGCATGTATAACTAATAATGAATTAATACCAATATCTCTTTGTCCACATTCAAATAAAATTGTTAACCATATACAAAATTGTTCAAGATAAATTTCTGTTTGAACTTCACCAAAAAGTCTTAATGATCTATTATTCATATGAAATTCAATATCAGCTTTACTTGCAATACTAACATGTACAAGTAAATCTTTTAAACGAGGTATAACGAAGCCAATATGTTCAATAAAGAAATTGATGACTTCATCATGATTTTGACATATAGTATGAATAAAATGTGCAAAATCATGTTCAAGTTGTATAGAATGTCTTTACAAGAATTAAAACAAAACACATTAGTATGACCTCTTATTAGAAAAATTAATTTACTTTGGTTCTGTATGAATAAAATTCATAATTGTTAAAAGAATATCTGATATTGAAAAATGTACATAGGATGTTAAATCATTCATTAATAATCCTAATGAACGATGTTCAATAAATGTCGATAAAAATGAAAATGTTGCCTAGTAAAACAAAAATTCTCTTAAACTAAGAAAAAAATAAAACTTTATCCAACAAACCGATTTGACATGTATATCACCTGTACGAATTAATTCACATAATGTTCCGATTAAATTTGAAATTGTTTGTCGATCAAGTAATGTCGATAATGTACTAGCAAGATGTTTAAGTACCGAACTATTAAATTACACAAAAACGTTATTGTTTTTTTCAATTTAGAAAAAATATTTTACATTAAATTTATTTGAAAACTACTTATATCATCTGAGCAAGTAAATTCAATAATACATCGTTCAATTGTTACATTATTTGAAAATGATGAACTAACTTGTTCAGGTACAATAAAACGATAAAGTCGTTTTGGTTGATGAATTTCTTCTTCAATAAATTCAACATCATATTTAATTGTATCTATTTGAATTTCATGAATTGAAAAAATTTGATTTTAAAAGAAAAAACAAAACACAAACCATTTAATGTATCAATTAATTCATTTGTAAATATTCGAAACAGTGCTGGCCAACGAAGTGATAATTCACCATAAAGATTAGCAAGTACACCAATAGTATTTTCTTGTATTGAAGTAAATTTTTTTGATGATAATGTCCAAATAAGTAATGAAACTATATAAATATCGAAATCTAAATAAAATTCACAATATAGAACAAAATCATATAAACATAAGATAAAATTATACGATAAGAATTTGTTGTTCGAATATCATCAAGTGTATGTTGTTTATCACTATCAGTTACAAATACACTTGGCGTATTAATAACAATTTGGTTAATTGAATTGAAAAATTTCTCTTGTTGAACATCAGTTACTATAGACGAAAAGCAGATGAAGAACAATCAATAAATATAGATGAATTTTAAACCTCGAGTAAGGCTTCGAAAGAATGATGATAGAAAATGACACATTGTATTGCGACCAAATTCAACATTATCAGTTGGTG